TGTACACCCTAAAGCTACTGAAATTAAAAAAAAAAAAAAAAGAGGAACACAAACTCAAGAATATGAATGAGCCGGGCACAGTGGCTCACACCTGTAATCCCAGCAGAAAATCACCTGTCAGGTACAATGTGCACAGGTGAGGATGGTGGGGACACTTAAAGCCCAGACTTCTTTGCATATAACCAAAGGTGTACAAATAGTTTTTGGTTACATGGCTACAATATAACCATGTAACCAAAAACTATTTGTACACCCTAAAGCTACTGAAATTAAAAAAAAAAAAAAAAGAGGAACACAAACTCAAGAATATGAATGAGCCGGGCACAGTGGCTCACACCTGTAATCCCAGCACTTTGGGAGGCAGAGGTGAGAGGATTGCTTGAGCACATGGATTGGAGACCAGCTTAGGCAACATGGTAAGACCTCGTATCTACAATAAATCAAAAAATTTGCTGGGTGTGGTGGCGCATGCCTGTAGTTCCAGCTACTTGGAAGTGGAAAGATCACCTGAGCCCAGCAGATCAAGGCTGTAGTGGTCATGAGCGTGCCACTGCACTCCAGCCTGCATGACAGAGTGAGACTCTGATTCAAAAAAAAAAAAAGAATATGAATGAGGAAGAAAGTGAATACGACTGTGGTCCAGTATAGTACGTGAGTGTGCAGGATTCCACAGAATCCAGACTGCAGGGTGAGAAGAAGCAGAGCATGGCAGCAGTAGGGTAGTGACTGAGGGCAATGGAAAGCCATGAACGATGCACAGTTAGAAAAGGCTAAAAATACTGTCGTGCATCAGAAAGGTCCTCGTTGAGGTCATCATCATAAATTTTGGTCGGGAACAGCCAGTTCAGATGAGTAACTTTCTCATAACAACAAGGCCAAGAACAGAGAAAGCTGGCGCTGTCGTCGACCCAGAAAAGGACTCAGCATACGGTTTCTGCAAAGAGCTCTCTCTTTGAATGTGAACCATAATCAACACACTTCCACCTTGTTCACACATTCCTCCAGATTCAGGATTCTATGAAGCCTCCTCTTCAACACCCCTTTCTTTTTCCCCACATTCTGAAAAAGATGAATTAATGGTAGTGTAAAATATTCTGATGGTGGCTTAGAGAAAATTTTCTGATTAAAGGATTGAAGAAGCAAGACGCAGAACAAGTCAATTAAGTTAGAGAAATCCAAAAGAGGCTAAATCAATGTAATACACCCTGAAAAACATGTCTTCATTTTTCAAAAATATAGTAAAACAAGAAAAGAAAAACAAAAAGGCCTTCAGTTTTTTTTAAAAGGATCTGCCTCCCATGTTACCACGAAATAACTAACAACACCTAAAAATGGAAAAGTACTGCAAAAAATAACAATGATCAGACTAGACAAATAAAAAATAACCATGAGAACACATATCTTGGCCAGGCACAGTGGTTCACGATTATAATCCCAGCACTTTGGGAGGCTGAGGTGAGAGGATTGCCTGAACCCACGAGTTCAAGACCAGCCTGGGCAACTTGGCGAGATCTCATCTCTACAATAAATCAAAAAATTAGCTGGGCATGGTGGCGTGTGCCTGTAGTTCCAGTTACTTGGAAGGCTGAGGCAGAAGGATTGCCTGAGCCCAGCAGGTTGAGGCTGCGGTGATCGTGAGCATGTCACTGCACTGGAGCCTAGGTGACAGAGTGAGACTCCAACTCAAAAAAAAAGAGAGAGAAAAAAATACATATCTTGTCTTTATGTAACACATTTCTAGTGTACAAAACATTTGCACATGTATGATCTCACCTGATTCTAACAAAAACCGTGTGAGGTAGGCACAATTATTAATGATCTCATTTTACATGCGGGAGAGTGGATTTTCAGAGACTTTAAATGAACTTTGATGGCACTGGGATTAGAACCTGGGGCCTGGGCTAGTTTTCATGTGTCATTGTGTCTAACACCAGAATGTACACAGTAAGTGGACACAGATAAAAAAGACTTAGTACAAAAGTAATTAAATGCAGAATACGTATCTTTACTCCTAAAAGATAAAATAATTAATTTTCTGTTATCACTGTTGCATAAAGCGAAGCACAGATGTTTTATAAGAAATAGCAAAGACCCAATGAGAGAAAGAGACAGGAACATAAAAGCATAAAGCTTCTTAGTTTAACATTAAGTTAGTTATTATTAGATTAGAAATGAGAGAAGTTGAGCAGGTAATATATGTAGATCTTTTTTGGAAAACTACACATCTGGATCATTATGTGTTATTCTGAAAAAGTGAATAGGAAAGAAAGGACAAAACAATGTTGGAAAAATCAGTAGCTGAAACTTGTGAGAAAGTGGTCTAAATTTATATAGTCTAAAAACATGACTCAAGGAGACATAATCACTGCCTATAAATATCCTCCAAGCAGCAATATGTGGTAAATAAAGTAAGTGAGTTATTCATGATCTTAGGTTCAGGTCATTTCTCTTTGTCCAATTGTCTAAGGAAGACAATGCTTCACACCTGAGCTGGTGTCGCCCTTAGAAATTAAAAGAGCCTGTGAGGACTATAGGCTGGGCCTTGCTGGAGATATTGAGGTGTCCAGTTAAAAAGAAGAACCACAGGGAATGCTGCCTCCAAAGACTCTACACATTACCAGAAATTATACTGGATAGTAACATCCCTCAATAGAGTTTTCATTAGAATTTTCATTTTTCCCACATCTTGAATAAGGAATAACCTAAAATGGAATCAAATCCCAAAGAGCTTTGTTACTGGTCCACCAAGTTGGAAGAAAAATGGAATATGACCAATCAAGAATATCATAAAGTGCTCTGCTTTGATACCAGGAGATAGTATGGTACTGAATCGTGAAAAACATACAAGTTTATAATGTCAAAGTCACTGGATCAGGATTCTTGCATCAAACCTGCCACTTACACTTTTGTACAGCTGTAGTTTTCTCATTGCCATAAGGTGATCATATTTGTCTTACCTGATAAATCACATTTTGGCTATCAAAGTGTTTTCAAAACCCACTGAGAGCTGTGCAAGTGCCAATGATTGCAAAGTATTAACATGACCATGACGCTCCCAGATGTTATACTTCAAAAACATCATTCTTCACAAATATTTCTTTCACAAGATACTTTTCTCCCTTTTTCCCTAGGTTTTCTCACTAAATCCCAAGGTTTCCTTAAACCACAGGTTACTTCAAACAACCTACTTGGTCCCAGCCCTTGAAGCAGCCTAAATTGGTTGAATTACAGCCAAGATGACCCTGGCAAGGTCCCTGCTAAATGTGCAGCAATCCTCTGGACAGTGATATTTAAAATATCAAGAGTTCTGTAACTCTGATACTGCATACTCAGTTCATCCACAGATCAATCCAGACTCAAGCATTTTTTCTACTGCCTTCCCAAACAGTTTTTCTAGCCTAGTAGACAAGCTGACCACATTTGGTTTCACTTGTCTTCCTTTGTTATGCAGGGAGATGGACCTAGATCATTTGACAGCCAGATTTTAGTCCTTCAATGGGCAATATTTCTCTAACATAATAACAAAGACCCCGAGTTGTGCTTGGTTGGTATCTTAAGACATTTATGTAAATCAGATTTATAACCATCCTTCACAGCATTGCATAGATCCTAACCAGCAGTGAGGTGATGTATACTGAAGTGTTTCATTAAAGGCTACTTGCCATGACCAAGGCCTGCCAACCATGGGAAATGGTCCCTGGGTGGGCAAAATGAGTGTCCAGAGAATGGCAAGCACAGAAACAAAAAATGAAAACCAAAAAACTCAAGTATTTTCTGGGGCTTAATTTTAGGCTCATAGAGATGGTAACTTAGTGCTTCAAATGGCAGCCCAGGAGCATGGGTAGCCCACTTCGATTGAAGCTGGGTCCTTGTGACATATCACTCCAAGAAACTATAGGTTTGGTTTGGTTTGGTTTTTTGAGTCAAGGTTTCATTCTGTCACCCAGGCTGGAATGCAGTAGCACAATTATGACTCAGTGCAGTCTTGACCTCCTGGTCTCAGGTGATCATCGCATCTCAGCCTCCTGAGTAGCTGGGACTACAGGCATGTGCCACCATGCCTGGCTAATATTTTGTAGAGACGAAGTCTCCCTATGTTGCCCAGGGGCTGGTTTCAAACTCCTGAGTTCAAGAATCCTCCCACCTTGACCTCCCAAAGTGCTGGGATTGCAGGTGTGAATCACTGCACCCGGTCACAAGATTTTTTTTCTTACTATAATAAACCACCTAAAAGACTTTGAAGAAATGCCTGCACAATGAAGGCAGAAGGGTCTATCGCATTCCTGTTTATACACACAGATGTACATACACACAAAATGTTGAACTATGTAATGAGATTTTCTCTACCACAACTGCAAAGTTTATGAAAAGCACAAATTAGGATGCAGTTGTTGTCTGTGCTAACATCCTACAGAGAAAAATTAACGGATCTTCAGCTTCTATTGAATGCTTTCCTGAGTTGGTAGAATTTGCCAGACCTGCAATATTAACATAAGAATTATGGAAATTGGAGACAAAAAGCTGGCGTCTACTGGGAATGATAGGCTCAAGATGAACTCAACTGGAAAATTTGGCTAACTAAAAGTGACATCCTTTGTGCTGGAATTTTTCTATCTGAAAGATTTAGAAAGGCTGTAATTATCTCAAGTTTTCAATTCAACCCTTTTCAAACTAAGCCTTTGATTTTCTTCATTGCACCATACCTTTCCTCTGTGTGAACTTGGGTGTTTGCCAGGCACTGAGGTGATAAATTCATATCAGTTTTATATGCATATCTATTTCCAGAGAATGCAACACAACTTTTGCAACCTCTATGCCAAGAAAAACAAAGGAATATTTGCACATCAAAACCTTTATCTCGTGTATAGGCTCAAAATACCTGAACACAGCTAAATAAATAATCTAATAAGAAATGACTGATTAATACCAAAGCATAAATTCTTGGCAAGTTAGTGCTTTTCTCCATGACAAAGCCAAGGATTACAAGAACTTAGACTTACCTTGTGGCTTCTGGGTCCCAAATCACAATGTCAGCATCCGATCCTACTGCTATTCTTCCTTTTCTTGGATAGAGATTAAAGATTTTGGCTGCATTTGTGCTGGTAACGGCCACAAATCGGTTTTCGTCCATTTTACCATTATGCTGTAAAATAATTCAAAGAGTTGTTCTAATGAGCAAACACTAAAAAAACTCCTATAATAAAAATACAAGACTTGCGTTTCTTAAACCAAACAGAACTGCATATGATTTTTTTTATATTGAGGAACCAACCACATCTGAGGATGTTGATGACTATAAACAATAATAATAATGATGATGGAGATGATGACAGAGCATATGAAAACCTGAAGATGACTTTTCAAACTCCTCCTCCCTCAAAAAACCCCCACTAATGTTTCCCATTCTTCCTGGCAACCCACAAGATTGATGCAAATGACAGCTATATGTTGGCAATGGTATTTTCAATTTCCATTTAAAGCTTGCCACCTACAACATTTATAATCTGGCTTATTTATCGGAGACCTAGTATTTATGAGATAATAATGTAAACACTAGATAGAATATTGTAGAATTAAGATAAGATAGGTGACAACACTTTTTTTTTTTTTAGTTGGAGTCTCACTCTGTCGCCTAGGCTGGAGTACAGTGGCACACACACCACCCCAGTGTCGACGTGCTGGGCTCTGGTGATCCTTCCAACTCAGCCTTCCAAGTAGCCAGAACTACAGGCGTACACTACCATGCCCAGCTAATTTTTTTATTTGTTGTAGAGACAAGGTCTCGCCAAGTTGCCTGGGCTGGTCTCGAATCCGAGGGCTCAGGCAATCCACTCGCCTTGGCTTCCCAAAGTGCTGGGATTACAGGCTGAGCCACCAAGCCCAGTCGGTAACAACACTTTTAAATTAGGTGACAATGCTTATAGAAAGATTTAAAAAATCAGCTAACAAGGTTCAATTTCATGCCATTGAAATTTACATGAACCAACAATTATGGATAGTCTATTGCAAGAGATTTTAATATGGACAGAATTCAGAGGGATGAGACTCCTCTAAAGCTTAAAAAAAAATTTATTCAGAGTTTATTCCTATAGATAGTGGTAAGAGAGTCCTTAAGGATTATTTAAATATCAAAGAGTCGCGTCAAAAATGGTAAAGAACCATGTCCTGAAAATATTATCATAAATAAATCATATTAATGCTTCAGAAAATAAAACAGCTTTCTATATGTTACAAAGAAACATTCAGTCATTTTAAAGCCATTTATATACATGGGAACTATCAGATTATAAAAGTATGCTGTAATGAAGACATTCATTGTTATCAAGAAAATCAAAGCAAGGAGAAAGAGAAGTCACTTGCGATGGTTGAAGTTAGGATGGAGGGAGAGGGAGTAAGGAGGATGATTAGTAGAAGATAGTGCTACAGAAATGTTTTGAAGATCCTTATGGGTAAATGAATTGTTTAATTAACATCCAGTAAGTAATGGAGACAATTAGAAGGTTTTTGAGAGGAAGGTAGAACTTCCTTTGTAATGGGAACTCTGGTACTGAAGTCTAGAATAGATTGTAGCAAGTGAGTCACTGGAGACAGGGACATCAGCTGTGAGACTGCTGCAAACCTCCAAATAAAATATGAGCCTCCAGATAGAATGATAGCAATGAAGACAGAACTAAGGAGGCCTTTTGGAAATAAAATGGTCAAGACTTGGTGAATTATTCATTACAGTTAGAAGTGGGTGGTACGTGGAAAGGGAAAGTCATGACAGAGGCTCCTGAAATAGGAGGCATGATTAATGAGTCACCTGAGAAAGGATTCCTGGCAGACTGGTGAGAAGGGCATGACAACAGGGACCTCAGGTCTAACCAGGCAAATCTCCCCTGCTGACCTTTACAACTACATGTGCCAACTGGCTGGACGGGTTAAGACACAGACATTTAGTCATTTGATGCTTCTCCATCCTCAGGAAGAAATATTTCAGTCATGGGAAATTTTTAAATCTTTTTTTCTTGACTTTGAATCTTACTTATGTGACGTCATACACCATTTTTAAAAACATGGTATCCAAGAGTTCTTTAGAAAGGGACGTCAACAAAGATTTCAAGGAAACAAGATTGAACACATAAATGTCCTTCATGTATTTTCTATCATTTCAAGTATTTTTACCAGTGACACTTTAGGCACTGGAATTCAAGAGCATGAGAAATCAGGTAACTGAAGGGCTATATCATTTCAGAGACTTCAAGATTAACCCTCTTTGCACCCAATCTTAATTTATCCCCTAATGTCTCTGCAAAATGGTGCACTGCATAAACTGAACTACGCAGAGAAGAAAATTATGTCTTTTCTGATACTCTTCTAAAGGGGTGGATGGTGGTAGTGGTGTGATGTTGCCTTACTAGTCTCTACCCTAGTAAAAACAATCAAAAAGCTTCTCTATGAAAGTTTGTGCCACTCTGCTCCCAAGATGGGCAAGATCCTGACTGAAGAACTAGGCAAAACAAGACTGAATCCTGTGAAGCCTACCACGCCTTTTTCCCATATTACTGACATCCGGTCTTCAACACCATTCACCCCGTTGGGAATCTTAGTAAAATCATCCTTCCCGAGAGCTTTCTGGCAGGTGTTGAAAGTACAGTTGTCAGTCCCTGTTGTGGTTAGATCATCACTGTGAAAGGAAACAACATGTGAGCGATGAGGGTAAGCAGACAGAACACGTTAGGAGGAAACCACCATAACCTTTCCTAATTGCCTGACCATTCTCAATGGAAAGTCAGAAAAATGCAGTGGAGAATGAGTAGCTTTTCAAAGTCCATAGGTCCTCCCTCTCTTGTCTTCATTCCAGGAAGTACTTTGAGAAAACACGCTTACAAGAAGTGTGATGCAGGATCATGAGTTGGAAAACCTGGGTTCTGGGCTTAGCTCTTACCACTTACTGGCTCTGTGATTATGAGTTTGTCTGAGACTCGGTTTCTCATCTAGAAATGGAGAGTTATATGTACTTGATGACGGTACCTTAAGGATCATGTAAGCAAAAATTCCTTGTGAGCAGAGGACTCCACAAAGTCAACACAATGGTAAATCATGTGCCTGGAAGACACATGGCCACACTGGGCTGAACTGAGGGTGAGATTGGCTGCGGATGTTGATGTCAGCAGGGACAGGAATCCTGCCTTGACTTGTGAATAATCTCGGGGATGTTGAGTCACGAGGGAGGAAAGAAGTTGAAAGTTACAATCTTTTGTGAAATATCACTTGAATCTGAGTATCTATGAATAGGTAGTGTTAGAATGTCTATGAAGGGTGAAATTCTCAAGAAAAATAACTCTCCCAGAAAGTAATAGAGTTACCTACACAACAATCTGGTTCCTGGGTTATATCAGCATAGAAAAAAATTCAAGAATATGCTGTTAAAGATAAAGATCATGGACAGCCAGCCCTGGCTCTGTGTAACACGAGATTGAAAAAATCAGGAGAGTAAAATTTCAGTAAAAATAATCTGATTTCTCTGTCTAGGAGAGGCTTTGACAAAATGTAATTAACACATAATTAAGTCAATGTTTTTTGCTCTGCAGGTGAGGGCGTGTACAGGGCTTTTGAGGTCAAGTAAAAGAGAATACTAGGAGGTCACTGGACAATACAGATGGTAGGACAAGCTCTCCTCCACCTGAAACTACTGCCCAGCTGTCTGCAAAATTACTTAGCCAATAGATTCATGAGGAAGTCAGGCGTTGAAGGGTCTGGTCGCAGGGGCGGACCCATGACATGGTGGGCCGCATGGTGCCATTCTTTATTCCAGTAGTGAGTTCCATCTGTACCGAGACTGGCTGCTATGGGTTCTCCATAGACCACATTCCCTGGAAAGTTCAAAAGAAGCATTCAGCACCTTAATCTTGTCTTGAGGACCATCTAACAAACACATAAACGTTAGTCTTCTCTGCCCTAGCAGAGGGTAATAACTGTAGTTGAGCAGAACCCCAAACTATAATTTATTTTAATAGACAAGATTTACAAATTCATGATGACCATAAATATGAATGAATAATAAATTTATGTAGTTGTAAGCCATTCATGTTTTAGATCATTGGTACTACAGCATAACCTAGAGAAAGCTAGCTGATACATGTGCCATTCTGATGGAACCTTCTCCAAAACCCTACCAGGTAAATGCTGTTATTATCTCCATTAAAGGATGAGGACAAAGCTATGAGGCAAGAACTTCTCTAAGTTACAATACATACAATCCATATGGAGTAGAGAAGGTAGGATATGAACCTAGGCATTTTGACCAGAATGGTTCTAACTTTTATGCTATAGTATTCTGATGACAGATAATTATTAATATAATAGGTCATATGGATCAGTATTTGCATCAGTATATCTTTGATGCAAATAGACTAATAATCTTTTATCGCCTTTAGAAAGAAAACTTCCACTGGGTGCGGTGGCTCAAGCCTGTAATCCTAGTACTTTGGGAGACCAAGATGAAAGGATTGCCTGAGTCCAGGGGTTCAAGACCAGCCTGGGCAACTTGATGAGAGCTCATCTCTACAATAAATCAAAAAATTAGCCGGGCATGGTGGCGCACACCTGTAGTTCCAGCTACTTGGAAGACTGAGGCAGAAGGATCCCCTGAACCCAGCAGGTCAAGGCTGCAGTGGCCATGAACATGCTACTGTACTGCACTCCAGCCTGGGTGTCAGAGTGAGATTTCAACTCCAAAAAAAAAAAAGAAAGAAAGAAAGAAAGAAAATCTGCTAAAAAAAACTTATATTAAATAAAAGAACACTCAGATAAGAAAATCACAAGCAGAAATGCATATTTTAAAAAATCATGCAAATGAGTTTTTCAAAAAACAGCATACAATGTTAGAAAAGTTAATAGTGTATAGTGAATTTGCATTTAAAATCAGAATCCAATCTCTGATTAGCATTTGTCAGAATAATAGGTTTGCTGGCATCAACCTGATCATATTCAAGCAATCATAAAAGAGTGCACAGTAAAGAGATGCTTGCATACCAAATTAGTTCACTCTGGTTAATCAGATGTCAAATTTTAGTTAAAATCCTGATACACAACTGAGATTAACTGATTTCCTCAGAGAGTACTGACAGTGGATGGCCACCAGCTGCCTGAGTCATATTCAATTAGAATGTGACACCCTTTTATTTCACAGATCATTTTCCCCCCAGACTACCCTAGGAACTTGAAAAACCATGAGAGCAAGAAAAAAGTCACTTCTTGAGTAACCAAGTATCAAACTGTGGTCAATAAAAGTTCTGCCCCAGGGACTTATCCACCACTAAAATCTTTACTCCCATGAAGCACAGGTATTAGATGATCCTGTTTTCTTCCTGATTCTTGCTGCCCTATTCCCAGACAGAAAGAAATACCATTAACATCTCTTTCTAAATCTAGAGGCAACAATCTAAATCTAGAAGCAACAACCATTTTCAGTGAGTGAAGAGGTGATATGTATCTACTGGAGAGAAAGGAAGATGGACCCAATATTTTATTCGCAAATATGAAAGGCCCTTTCTGTCCCAAACTTCTTACAGACGCTTGGACAACGAAAACTCAGAGACTTGATCTGCAACCACTTTACAAGTTGCCAACTCAGGATTTTCACCGTGTGCTTTATCATAGAGGAAAGATCTTTATCACATGTTCTATCCAATCACTTGAACCATCAAGGTGATATGGGAATACGGTTCCAAAAGTTCTACAATTTTAAAAGCTCTCAGGAAAAATTAAAAGTGTCAGCATTTACCGGGAGTCTGCCAGGACTGTTTTGAAACCAGATGACAGGTAATTTCCTTGGAAGGGCTTAGCGTCTTTAAAATGTGACAGGCTACTTTTTTGGCATATAAAAGCTCTTCGTTAACCAGGTTATTGTCATTGTTCCCCCCATTAAGCATCCATAAATATGCCTTTAAAACTTTAAAATAAAAAAGTAAAAATTCCTAACTACATCTTCTTTCCATTTCACAGTGGTTCTAAGACATTTTCAAAAGAATAAAGGACATACAAGAACTAAACAGAGGAAGGAAAACAAGGGGCCTGGATAACCTATAAGTTGGATAATCAAGCTGGATAATTCACCATAATTGTGGGTTCTGTTAGATTGGGGCTAAAAATAAAGTAACAATAAAAATAGCTAACATATGCCTAGCACTCTATAGTTTGCAAAGCTCTCACATACAATCTCATTGGACCTTCACAGCAGCCCTCTTACTGGTTTGACAGATGAAGAAGCTGATGCTCAATAAGACTCATGAGTTTGTCAAAGATACACTAGTAGTAGGTGGCACGGCCAGAATTAGCATTCTAGTATTGTAATATTCTATCTTTTACACTATGTTACCATTTCTTGGTAAAAAGCATGTATTTCTAAATGTTTAAGTCAACCACAGGCTATTCGTGGATGTGGCTGAGCAATTTTCCAATTTCTCTTGCTAGTTTCATTGACTACATCTAGCAAGTTGACACTGAAAAGTGCTGTATTTGTCCTCAGTCTGGTCCTTCCATGATTACAACTGCAACCAGACGGTCCCAACAACTCTTGGAGATAAGTACATCTTCATCATTAATCTCTTCCCACTGTCTTAGCAAGTTTCACATAGGTTGTACCTTGTCTACCTGTAGATGTTCTCTCCTCCTTTCTCCAACCTTTAACTCAAAAAAAAAAAAAAAAAAAAAAAAAAAAGACTGTTCTTATGTATGATGCAACCTCCCACTGGAGGTTTGCTCTCTGAGAGATTCAAAAGATGTCCAAATAATGAAGTATGTCAAACCAATCCAAACTCCTCCCAACCAGACAACTGTTTAGTAGATGAAGGTGACAGGGTGTATGTTAACACGTTGTCTGATTCTGCGAGTAGCCCTTTACTGAGTCATGAGATCTGTCAGAGAAGGTCAAAAGATGCCAAGATGCTCATAGGAATCCAGGAGCAAAAGCAACGGCTACCAAATAGAAAGCCAAGCACATTTATAGAAATAAATTTTCCTAGCTAAACGGATAGAGTGAAAACTTCCTGAACTCTATTTTTATTAAAATGTTACATTTACAAAGGAAGAACATAATTGAGAGGGAATATATATAGAAGCTGCATAGTAGAATGGATTATACAGATTTATGGTCAAATCCTGACTTTGCTATGTTTTAGCTGGTGACATTATGCAAGATGAGTCATTGCTCTTAGTCTCAGTTTTCCTCATCTATGAGATGGGATCACAATGTCCCTGTAATGCGGCAATTTTGTGAGGTCAAATTAATTGATATATATGAAAGTACCTAGCATCCTTCTGGGACCCTGGAATTACTTCATGTCATAGGCCGAATTGTGTACACTGCCAAAATTTACATGTTAAAGTCTTAAACCCCAGCACTTGAGAATGTAATTTTGTCTTTGGAAGTAGTATCTTTCTAGAGGTAGTGAAGTTAAAGTAAAGTCATTAGGGTGGGCCTTAATTCAATAAGTTCTTATAGGAAGAAGACATGTGGACACAGACACATACAGAGGGAAGATAATGGTAAGACACAGGAAGCCCAGGACTATCAACAAATCACAGAGAGAAGCCTAGAACACATCCTTCCTCCACAGTCCTCAGAAAGAACTGACCCTGCTGACACCTTGATTTTAGACTTCTAAACTCCAAAACTGTGAGAAAATAAGTATCTGTTGTGTAAGCCACTCAGGCTGTGGCATTTGTTACAGCAGCCCTAGCAAACTAACTCCATAAATGTTGGTATTCTTTTTTTTTGGTGATCCCTCTGCCTCAGCCTTCCAAGTAGCTGTAACTATAGACACACGCCACCATGCCCGGGTGTGTGTGTGTGTGTGTGTGTGTGTGTGTGTGTGTGTGTGTGACTTATTGTAGAGACAAGTCTCACCAAGTTACCCATGCTGCTCTTGAACCCCTGGGTTCAGGCAATCCTCTTGCCTCAGCTTCTCAAAGTGCTGGGATTACAGGTTGAGCCACCATGCCCGGTGATGTTGTTCTTAAAGCCACACAATTCTAGTTTTGAAAATGTGTTTTTAAAAGGACCAGTTTTCAACTGATTTGCAATTGAATAGAACATAAATTATCTTGTTCTAAATGTAAAGTACAATGGGGTTGAAAGGGTGAAATCCAAAATGGAATGATTTTATGAAATAATCTTAACTAAAGTGCAGCCATTTTGACACTGCTTTGTTTTGTGATGTTCTCTTAGCAAACCTAAACTGCCCTCTAATCAAGGACAGAACTGGTTTCTCAGAGGTAGCTATTGATAATTGTTTCACAACCCCCTCCCCAGCTTGTTTTGTTTTAATTAATTTTCTATTCCAAATATTTGCCTCCAGCCATAAGAAACCAAGTTAACCTAATCAGCCCTTCTTGACCTTCATGACACAAACAGATTCCATCACCTTGGCAACAGTTACATGACCAACCCATCTGCCTGCCATCTTTCACCTGATGTCAAGACCTGTGATTCCAGTGCTTATATGTCCCTTTTGATTAAGTGAAACAGACCACCACCTAATCACCTTACCAAACCTGTCCCCATCAAAGAGAAAATGTAAAAGGCATTCAACCTCAAACAGCAGTGGCCACTGCTTTTGTTAAACTCTGGTCGGGCCATGTGGTTCTTTGAGCTATGGTCACGATGTTTTCCTAAGTTTTGGCCCCCTCCTCTACCCTGGGGAGGTGAATCTCCTCTCTCTCTCTCTCTCTCTTTCTCTCTTTCAATAAACTATACTTTCCCCTCTAATTTCTGTGCAATTCTTTGCATCTTTCGCCTGGCACCAGACCTCACATCCCCTTTTTGGTCTGAACTAACAGGGGTGTTCAGATATTCATGTGCAAGAAAGAA